CCGGACCCCCCCGCCCCCCCCCGCTTTGCAATGGGTGGGAGCACGGTAGCTCCCGGGCTGTGTCAGGCACCCAATAGGAGATGCCGCCAACCTGACATCAGCGTTGGGTCCAGGCCCTTGGCCCCGGTGCCCAGCCCGCAACTGCTCGAGACGAAGACGGAGGATGCGTGGCGGGTCGTGGTTGCGGACTGGCTCCAGCCGACCCTGTCGTGGGTGGCTTTGTCATCATAACACAGCGGGTGTTCGCGATGGCGTAAAGGCGGCATCTCCCATATTGACGATGCCGCTGCTCCACGCGGCGCTGCCCTCCTGATCAGCTCATCAGCATCTGAGGAGCTCTGCTGATGGGCGACGTGCCTGGGGCGGCAGCTCTATGCTTCCAGTGCTGGCTGGCTACCACAGGGCGACGCTGGTTAGAGGTGCGCAAGGCAGGCTACACAAGAAGCTTGGGGTAGACCGCCTCACAGGGGATAATTTGTCTTTGCCATGTGTGGCCTGGGCTTGGCGACCGCTGGTAGGCCCGGACCCGCAGCCGTCGAGGCTCATGTCCTCTCTAATGATAGGCGGGTACCTAAACCGCATCCGCTAGGCCAGCCGACGTGGCAAGATAGCGAGGCAGTAGGGCTCCCGCCCTCCCTGTGGTCCCAACCACGCATCTTGCGCACGCCGCCATTCGTCGCCTGCCCCGTCGCCCAGGCCCAAGATGTCGCAGTTCTCGGTCGGTGGCGCCGACGTGGCCACCATCAGATTGCAATCACACCCTCTGTATACGCGGTTCACGTTACTCGTTAGCCGCCACAGCCCCTGCGTGGTGCTCAAGGCAACCCACAAGAGTTGACCGAGGTCTACGTGTTGCGTTTATCCCGTCTTAAATGCCCCAAAACAACTCGCGTCGACGGATTAGAGCACTAGAACAGTGCACTTTTTTCTCTGCTCTTCTGCCCGCTGATGCTTGGGTGCTCATAGCTGCACTCGTCAAGCCGCTTTCACGCGGGGCTCAGCCTTGCAGCTATCGGAGCGATGCCACGACCATGGGATAGCAGGATGTGCTAGCCTAGAAACTGTTGGGCCTCTCCTGCCGGCCGACCCTACCACCAGCGGCATTAGCTTACTGGGCGCGCATGATGACGACAAGCGAGTCTTGTTTGCAGCTCGTTGCGCCTTCGAGCGGCAGGATAGGTGCAGTGGACACGCCAACTTATTCTGCCCACCAACATGCGCCTGGCAAGGCGGGTCAGATTTCACAATGCGGAGGATACGAAAAAAATGCAAACAAGCGAGTTTATTCGTACCAGACTCCCTTGATGCTTTTCTTTCACCGACCATCCTCCATTCGCCCTCTAATATCCCCCTCGCTTCCCCTCCAATTCTCCCAAACATCTTTAAATCGCCGCCCTAGCTTGTAACATCAAATGGCTATCAAGGGTCGTTTGCTGCTTTGCACGGTAGTGGATGTTCCTCGCTTAGAAGAGACAGGTGCCGCCCTTGCCGTTGGGTCCGATGGTGCTGTGTTTACGGTCGGTTAGCTTAGCGCGTGGGGAGGTGGAAGGAGGCTGTACTCACCAAATACCGCCCTGGAAGTCTTGGCAGAGGGCTCCATTGCCCTGCTTCGAGCACTGGGTAGTGCCACGCTCGTTGGCCTTGATGCGTTCAGCCAGCGTGGCGGGCATGGGCGCGGCAATGACAAGGCCGGCAAAGGCAACAACGAAAAGGGTCTTGAACTGCATTTTGTCGGAGGGTGATGAAACCGGTAAATTGCTAAAAAGTGGGAACTGAAAGAAGGCGAAAAAAAGTGTTGGACCGGCCAATCGTGGAGAAAGTAAGAGAAGGTGGGGAGGATTAGAGAACTGGAAACTGGATGCTGAGGATGGTGATGAAGGTTAGATGAGAAGATGTGGTAGGAGTGCCAATTCTTCTTATAGCCAGCGTTTTTTGCCATCGCGGAGGAGGCCGTGATGCATGATGGACAACCCCCTTCCCCGGTAAATCGGGACCTATTTTAGGTTACGGCGGATCCGCAGTGTTTGAGCGGTCAGGGAGATCGTCCCTAGAATGGACAGAAATCCGGTTCCTTGTTTTGGCCTGACATGGCAGCCGGTCCACGTTTCGGGCTTCTGCGACAACTTCCTTATGCGTAAAACCCCTCGACCCTCAACCCCTGCATCGCCTGATCAGAGCGTTTTTACAAGCGCGCCTTCCCCGTTCTCCTTTTACCATCTGCGGGGAAATAAAGAGTAAAAACCCACCCAGTAACAGGGGGGTAACAGGGGGGTTAAAACCGGAAATCGCAGGGGTCGTAGTGACTTGGGGAGATGTCACGAGACTTCAAGAATTTCTCGTCCTTTAAAAGCTTTTCTCGATTTCTCTCAACAATGGCAGTGACCTCATGCCAGCACGTGACCCCCCTTTTGCCACCCCTGTGATCTCCGGGAGGTGGGTTTTTACATACTGTTTATTTCCCTCGCAGATGCAGATGGTAGGTGTTCTCTCCGAACTTGCCACCAGTCAGGGAACGTCGTTTCGAGACAGGAGCACACGACGTCCCCTAACCCATGCACTTGGGTCTAGCCACATAGTGTGCCGTGCCACCCCTGCATGGCCGTTGGGTGTGTCAGGGCCCTGATCGGCGGTACCGATCAGTGCTGTGCTGGCCGGTGCGGAGGCACATGGCACGGGCCTCAAGGCCCTGATGTATCTGTGGCGCACCTAAACTGCCAGGCTGACAAGGCTCTCGTTGCTGAACCCTTGGAGTCTCGAGGCCGTTGCAACAAATCCCTGCCGGCCACCCTTGAGACCCTCTTTTTTTCAACTATTCCGGTAAAGATCCGCGCGAAGAGCAAGCCCACAGAGATACATGTTATCAACCCTTGTCAGGCCTGCACAATTCGCACCGACCGGTGCGAAGCGTTGTGCTTCTTTTGGGTGGGGTTTCCTTTACCGAGTGAAGCTAAACCCTTCGATAAAATCATTTTTGGGTGGTCCGGGCGCCTTTGCACCGGCCAGTGCACACTGGTCGGTGCCGCCGATCAGGGCCATGGTGAGGCATCCACTACCCCCCCCNCC